CAAAATTGTCTTTGGGCTATGCAAGCTAAATTTCTTGGACTTTTTCGAATGGTCTAGAGTAAAGTCAACTAGAGCAAATCACGCGTATAAACTATGTGTTAAGGCAAGTAGAGTGAACTGTTACAAATACTCCTTTTTGTAAGGACTATCGGCTTGTGGAACGCTTTGCCAAAATACGTTTTAGAGGCTAATAACTTTTCAGCGTTCAAAAAAGCCCTGAAGGACTATTTAAAGATCTAATTTATTCATATATTTGTAATTGTAATTTTAATTAGTAATTTTTAACAATTATTTTATTTAAGGAAGTTTAATATAGGGATAACCTCAAGCTTTCCTTTTCCTCTGTCACTGTAATTGCATGCTTCAGTTTCATTGTGAATAAATCTTTATTGTATTGTATTGTATGTTGGACTTTATCAGTTCAAAAAACTTCCATTCGGTCTCCGTAACGCCCCTGCTAGTTTTCAGCGTCTAATGAACTCCACTTTTGCCGACATGCTTTTCCCTGCTGACGAAGCACCTTACCTGTCGACCTATGTGGATGATATATTGTCCCTCAGTAGTACTTCAGCCAAATCTACAAGCTCGAGTGAAATGGAATCTTTGATGGATGTAAAAACACTAGTTGTTCTCGAGTCATGTCTCGATGTTGATGTTGATTTATCGCCAGAGAATGAGTTAGCACAAGATCAGTTAATTGCCCTGAAACCTTCCTTGTTTGAATTCAGAGATGAACAACGTTTATGTCCTAAATTAATGCCAATCATTCAGTATCTAACAGATCTAAGTCCAGAACAGTCTCCTGAGAAGCATTCAAAATTTCAAGGATACGAGGTCAATTACAATGATGGTTGTTTATATTACAATGAGACCCCTTCTGGTGGTGCCTGCCACACTACGGCGTCAATTTATGTATGCACATCACAATGCCCCCTTGTCTGGTGGACATAGAGGACGTGATTCAACTCTATCTTCTCTTCGTCAAAAGTACTATTGGCCTGGAATGGTCCGCGACGTCCGCAAATGGGTACGAAAGTGTATTGCTTGTGTAAAACGGAAAGCCTCACAAGTGAAGCAAGGACTAATGCAAATTCGAACATATTCAGAACCTTGGGACACTGTTGGAATCGACTTGATTGGTCCTTTCCCTGAAACGAAGACAGGATACAAATACGTTCTAACCGTTACAGATTTCTTTAGTCACTACACAATCGTTGCCCCCTTGTCAGACAAATCTGCAAGAACCGTAGCATATAACCTTTTCAACCATGTAATTTGCGTGCACTCCTGTCCTAAGAAGTTTATGAGTGACCGTGGAACTGAATTTCTGAACGATA